ATGTGTGTTGAACAGTTCTGGGCTGCTTTAAAAACTCTCGAATAAAATTATAAAGATAAACTAAACCAGATCAACTAGGACACTTAAGCTTTATTGAGTTATGTATACATTACTTACATGAATAAATGTCATGACTGAGGTAATTTATGAATGCTTCAACCCATTTTGTCCATACAATAAAAGTCTATGGGGTCCAAAAGTCAACAGTGGACTTTCATTTTACGGACAAAAAATATGGGAACGTAAAACAAAAAAAAAAGTTCTGTTTTCCACAGAAGAAAAAAGATATATATGTTTGGATCCACATGAGAGTGAGTACACTATCATTCAAACTGTTCAGTACGATTTTTAAAATGTTTTTGAAATGACTTTGAACGTCTTTTATGCTCACAGAGTCTGCATTAAATTGATCAAAAATAGTAGAATACAAGAATACAGTAAAAGCAGAAATATTGTGAAATATTATAACAATTTAAAATAACTGTTTTCTATTTTATCCCATTTTAAAATGTAATTTATTTCTGTGATGGCAAAGCTGAATTTTCAGCATCATTGCTCCACTATTCAGTGTCACGTGATCATTCAGAAATAATTCAAACTGCTGATTTGCTGCTCAAAAAACACTTTTTATTATTTATTATTATCAGTGTTGAAAACAGTTGTGCTGCTTAATATTGTTTTGGAAATAGAAAGTTGAATAGAACATAATTTATTTAAAATAGAATAATTTTTCTAACATTATAGATGTCTTTACTGTCATTGTTGATCAATTTAATGCATTCTTAGTGAATAAATGTTGTTTAAATAAATAAATATAATAATATTTAGGTGACCATTTATTCTAAATGAGTATGGGTAATTGACAATTGACAACATTAAAAACAATGGCTATGATAAATTATCAGGAACTGTCCCACTTTTCCTGTATTAGTTTAGCAAAGTGTACTTTATGTGGCAAACTGCTGAAATATATATATTTTTTTTTTTCCTTTTTTGAGTCCTGCTCCAAATATTGGCTCTTAATATTTGCCAATGCCAGGAATTGATACCTCTCTATAAGATATACTCTTCTTTTTAACAATCTATAGCAACCTTTACATTTGATAATAAACATCAAGGCTAATTCAGCACACATTGAGCCTATGTGTATACTTAGTGATCAATACTGTCCTCTGAAACATCTTTATTGCATTGTTGTGGTCGTAGGGTTGGTGTATTTGCCTCACAGGAGTCAGGAAGATAGCAGACTAGTGACAAAAACAGTCGCTCAGTCTCTCTCACAACACAAACACTATTAAAGTTAATGATCTGCCATCCACATCCTCTATGTGCGTGTGTCGGAGAGAGAATGGAGAAATGTTACACAAACACTGCATTGTTTTTGTAGTATAAATGTAGGTCATCATATTTTTCTGCTTCTAATTGTTCAAACGAGCTCCGTTTAAGTATACAGAAATCTGCATTTTCAAAACGAGTCGTTCCTAAAGCAGTCAAGTGGATGTTAGATTGTGTGAGAATGAAAATGCTGCACTATGAGTGTGCAGTGACTAATAGACTTGTTTGTGGCTTCAAAACAATTACAGCACTCCTCTCACTTTAATGTGTGTGTGTGCTGTCACTGTGCGGAGGGTCTTTTAGATTGAGCAACTTTAAGCTTAAAGACAGGTGTGGAATGGGGTCATTCAGAGTCGTGAGCCGATACACATGCTCTTATCCTGGCAGCGAGTCATGCACGAGGCTGTAGTGGCAGATGCGGTGACGCATTTGGAGGCGAATGATGTTGAAAGTTGAGTGTGAGGCTTAATATGCAACTGAAGCATTCATTTGCATTTCGTACATAACGTGATGGGATTCTGGCTCCAAGGCTGGAAAATGTACTAAATGCATGTTATGTTCAACGAATATGTGTCATCTTTTCTGTTTGTGACGAATGAATTGATATCTTATATGCTAGTGTGCTTCAGCATATACAGTATATGCATGTAATATATACTGTACAGTCTTTGTCGTCTAACAAAATGCACTAAAAATATTGATGACCCATCTTGCACTTATGGGCATGTCCAGTTTTTTGTCCAATAAAAAAATCTCACTAGAATATATGTTTATGCCTTTTGCAATAGCAAATAGCAAAGAATTAATACAATTAATCAAATATGTATTTTAAATCGATTAAATTGATGACAGACATTTATAATGATACAAAAGATTTCTATTTCAAATAAATGCTTTCGTCGAAGAATCCTGCAAAAAAAAAAAAAGGTTTCCTCAAAAATATTAGGCAGCACCACTTTTCAACTTTTCAAAATTGGTAATAATAAATGTTTCTTGAGCAGCAAATCAGCATATTAGTATGATTTCTGAAGGATCATGTGACACTGAAGACTGGAATAATGATGCTGAAAATTCAGCTTGGCCATCACAGGAATAAATTACATTTTAAAATGTGATAAAATAGAAATCGGTTATTTTCAACTGTACTGATTTTTATTTTTTATTTTTGAGCAAATAAAGACTTGATGAGCACAAGTGAGATTAAAGAATTAAGTAATTACCAACCCCAAACTAGTGTAAACTAAGGCCTATTGGCTTACGACTTTTTTTTTTCCAAGGACAAACTGAAATTGAGGAAATATGAAATATAATGGCAATTTCTGGCTCCTTTTCTCTTAATTGTCCTAATTAAATTGTTAGCCAATCTTACCTCCTCGTATTGTACGCGCCCACCGTTTCGAGCAGATGGCTTTGAATTTCATAGCGCAGATATAAATATCTTTTTGTTTGGCAGCCAAATCAGTTGACGTCAATGTATTTTTTGTACTTAGCAATAGATGTTAGACATTGTTTTCTTTATTTTTCCCTTTATTTTCTTTTTCTATTTCCTGTGTCACTTCATATTTTAATTGAAAATGCAGTTTTCACATACAGCAATAAAACTGACCATATAATATGGCATTATTGAATATGAATATGGAAGCGGGTGCTTCCTTATGCAAACACGTAGTCACACACCCACAACCCTTGATGCAAATGGACTGAGGAAAACTCTGAATTGTTTATGTAAAATTGTGGTAATGGACACCCAGTGGCAGAGCAAAATGCATACTGTTTTATTTACCCAGCCTGTTGTTTGCACTCTTTAATCTCGCAACTTTGCAAATACACATTCATACGGTTGACTTGCATCTCGTCTCGCACACATAAAAACACTCATTCGATCGTGTGCGTGCATCACTGTACTTGCACGCACCAAATGAAAGGTCATTGTGATCTCTGCGCTTCCAGAGACAGACGCACATTTTGTACACCCTGTGCAAAAGACCAATTATCTCAAGGCTAAAAAAGACAAAAAATATTGTGTCGTGTTGAGATGACCTTAAAGAGCTCATCCAGAAATTAAAGCTGCCATTTACTCAACCCCTTGTCATTTCAAACCCATACTACTTTGGAGCTGAGAAGCTGCTGTGACATCAGTCATGAAATCAAAGCCCAATCACAACCGTTACAAACTGATTTCAGTTCCCTTGCCATGACCAGCTGGTCTCGTTTTCTGTCTTGTGCTCTCAAAGCGGCTGAGTCAGAGAACACTGGGTATCTAAATATATACTGACACACACAGCGCCCCTACAGGCCTTTATATCCACCTCTGCCGCTGACCTACTGCCGGCTTAATCAATGATTTATTGCATGATCTGATTATAATTAAATATTGTGGGGTGTCAAAAGAAAAGGCTTGCACATTTTCCTCATTCATTTGCTCATTTACTCACCCTCATGTGGTTCCAAACCTGTGTGATTGTATTTTTTCTGTGAGAAACAAAATGTTGGAGATTGTTTGAGTCGCTCTTTTCCATGCAATTACAATGAATGGGAACAGAAAGGTTTGTCAACAATATTTGATTCAGGAATGAATTGTTCTTTTGAGTTGGATCTTTTCAGTGAATCTGTCGATGCAGTTCACAAAACCGGTTCTTTAGTTCTGACTCAATGATTCAGTTTCAGCAGTTAAAGAGATAAAGAGGTAAATTCTGTTATCAGTTACTCACCCTCATGTCATTCCACACACATAAGACTTTTGTTTATCTTCGATACACAATGAAACCTAAGAGATTTTTGTCTCTCCACTGAAAGTTCATTCCAACAGCTTCTAAAGGTGTATATGTGAATGAAATCCTAAATTAAGTATGGTCATATATAAAGTCATAGAATCATATAATCATCATATAAAGTCATTGTGTCTCTTCAGAAGCCTTGGATTAAAGTGTTTGATTCATGTGGATTAGTTTTACTATGTCTTTATGAAGCTTCTTGAAGCTTCAGTTCAGAATTTTGGTCTTATGTGTTTGGAATAACATATGAGTAATTTTTTAACAGTAAATGAAAAACTAAAATCACAAAAAAAGTTACTTAAAACAATAAAAAGCAATAAAAGTTACTTGAAATAAAAAGAAATGTATTTAAATTTATTTTATTTCAGCTATTTGCCAGACAGCATGCCATTTTTTTTAGTTTAAATTGATACACTAAAGTAAGTATAAAAGTAATTCTGAAATAAAAATGCATAAAAACTAATACAAATGACAACACGCAACAAAATTGTTTAATGTTAAAATGAAGATTATTAAAATTATTAAATTGAAAACAGAATTGTTTTTAAAAATATTAATAAAACTATCTAAATGATACTAAAATAACACTGCCTTGAAGATTCACTATTAGCAAATAATGATTTAAACTCTCACAAAACTATCATATATATGACTTTAGACTTATTGTGTCCTTTTTGAAGATTGAAAGCCTCGGTGCCTTGCTAATTTTCGAGAGACAATCCCTTTGAATAAATGGTTCAGCCTCAAATATTAAAATGTTAACATAATGAATGCTGTTGTGATTACAAACACTGGAACAGATGAGGAGTGAAACTGTCTTTTAATTGGCAACTCGCAGAGCTCGCATTGGTCAAGCTGGCCTAATCTCTTTTACTATGGCTCTCTTTTCAGGGATGACAGCAGCATCTTTGATGGGTTGATGGAAGAAGATGAGAAGGACAAAGCAAAAAGGTAATTAGACAAGCAAAACATTATGATTATTATTATGATTCCTCAACGGGAATTTCCTTTCTTTTACCTTGAGTCGAACTCCTGTTATGAGCCAACCCTTTATTCCTTTATCTCATGCAAGAGTGGTTTAAACATGATTTATTACACCAGAGGATTGTATAGACAAGTCCTTTTTCATGGTAGTAGATCTAAAGTGGTTTTGCACCAGGAATAGAAACTTAAGTGTGACCTAGTTATGACTGTTTAAACCTGAGTGCACAGATTCACCCTCATTTTCTGTATACAGTCACAGAACCGTGAAATGGTTTCTCTCAGCACTGCCAGATTTTTCTCAGATTAGATAGCGTCCCATTATCATTTTGAGTAAATTGTAGAATTTAAGATAATTAAAAGATGATGTGTATTTTAGTGCTTAACTGTGACTTCGAAAACTTCTGAAATAGCGATTAAATTATGTTATTACTCTATTATCTGGAAGTCAGCAATTGATTTCCACTGGAATTTTCCACCTCTTGTTTTTCCACCTACAGAGTTTCTAGGAACAAGTCGGAGAAGAAGAGGCGAGACCAGTTCAATGTGCTCATCAAGGAACTGGGCACCATGCTGCCAGGCAACACCCGCAAGATGGACAAGTCTACCATCCTACAGAAGAGCATCGACTTCCTGCGCAAGCACAAAGGTTACTGCAGTGCCATACCAAATAATCGTAACCAAATTTGTCAACTTTTTTACGAAAATGAAAGTAAATTCTATATTTTCATTGCCTAAAAGGAAAATATTGAGGAAAAAAGCAAAGATGTAGTTAACTAAATTGGTGCAATAGTATGCATTTAAATACTACAGAAAATGAAACGATTACAGAGAAAAATTTTATTTCATTTTATTTTCATATTTTACAATCAATTATGGTTTCTGTGACTTAAAGGGATTGTTCACCCAAAAATGAAAATTTGATGTGTATCTGCTTACCCCCAGGGCATCCAAGATGTAGGTGACTTTGTTTCTTCAGTAGAACACAAACAAAGATTTTTAACTCAAACCGTTGCAGTCTGTCAGTCATATAATGGAAGTGAATGGGAATCACGGCTTTGAATTAAAAAAAAACATACACAAACAAAACCAAATTAAACCCTGCAGCTCGTGACATTACATTGATGTGTAAAGACATGAAACGATCGGTCTGTGCAAGAAACTGAACAGTATTTATATAGTTTTTTTACCTCTGATTTACTGCAATGTCCTAACTGTCCTGAGCATGTTCGCGTCGTCTTCTTCAGCCGGCGCGTTGCGTCTTCTTCTTCTTGCTTTACGGCGGATCGCAGACTTATAAGTGCATTATCCCTTTAAGTTGATTTCACAAGCCATACTGTTTACTATTGATGAATTCTAGCCAAGAGCCGCCCACTTAGACAGGAAGGAGCCGTCTGATTATATATAAAATGGCATGTGAAACCTCCACCACAGTATGCTTTTTTCACTCAACATATAGGAGTGGGTATTTCTGAAATCAATAAGACAATAGTAGACAAAAAGTGGTAGCTCATTCAATTATTAGTACAACAGTCTTCACAAAAGATTGTACAGACAACAGCAAAAAAAAAAAGTAAACAAATTTGGACAGATTCCATTTGGCATAATTTTTATGGATGATGTCATTTCTAAATGTGGTGTGTGTGCTGGACAGAGATTGAACAGTTTGGTGCAGTGCTAAAAACTTTTAGAAAACTGAATGTAATAGCAAATAAAAATATTATAAAATTAATAAAATATATTAAAAGATAAAAGTGATAATATTATATTCAGAGCCGATCCTCCCTATACGCAAAATACGCAAGCTGCGTAGGGCCCCCGAAACACCAGGGGGCCCTCTTGCTCTCAAAGATGATTTAATTTTAGTTTCGTTTTTGAATTTGGCCAGCGTTTATGAAAACATGAATGATCATTTCTTTTAATGCGGTGTGCTGTCGCCCTTTCTACATAAAAATCAGTCAAATCATGTGAATGTCGTACAGTCTCGCTCGAGACTAAAAAACGAGTTGAAAGTGTACCGAGCCGCATAAGAGACACTGTTTCTCAAGCGCTTTCCGCAAACGCAATTTGAGAACTTGAGAAACCTGGAATGCAAAACAAATTCAAAATAGAAACAACTGAAATATTCTGTATTAGGTGGCTGATATTACAAGGTACATAATTATGTTCTATTATATATATAAAGTAAATATTTATAAATAAATAAGGTATTTAGTATATTAACCTGATGAAATAAAGCTTGTATGTTTTAGTTCTTTGTCCAGGATTTGAAACCTCAGTCTTGTTTGTATTGTCTTTCCATCAGAAATTGCCGCACAGTCCGAGTCGAGTGAAATCCGTCAGGACTGGAAGCCGCCTTTCCTTAGCAATGAGGAGTTCACACAGCTGATGCTGGAGGTGAGGACTTACTCATACATACACATTTGCCTAAACCCCCTACTTATGTGTATTCATTCAGTAAACACTAAAACTGCAGAATTATTGATATTCTTCATTTGCTTTATTTTTTAGGCTCTAGATGGCTTCTTTTTGGGCATCATGACAGATGGAAACATAATCTACGTCTCAGAAAGTGTCACGTCTTTATTAGAACATCTACCTGTATGAACACACTGCATTTATTTAAACAAAATTACAGTAAAATTAGTCAAATATTATTACAATTTAAAATAACAGTTTCTGTTCTATATATGTTTTAAAATGTGTTTATTCCTGAGATGGCAAAGCTGAATTTTTAGCAGCTATTACTCCGAATCATTCTAATATGCTGATTTGGTGCTCGTGAAACATTTTTTATTATTATCAATGCTGAAAAGGGTAATACATTTTTTTTTTTTTTCAGGATTCTTTGCTAAAATGAAAATTCCAAAGAACTTTTGACATATTTTGGAACATTATGAATGCTTTACTGTCACGTTTGACTAATTTAATGCATTGTTGATGAATAAAAAATGTATATCTAAAAAAAAAAAAAAAAAAATCATACTAACCCAAAACTTTTGAATGGTTGTGTTACTTTTTAGAAAAATAGCTCAAAATAACTTAATGTGAAATGTTAGGTCGCTAAATTAATCAGCGACTAAAAATATTAAAGCAAATATTGAATCTAATAATTAATTTGATGACATTTCTAAACTACTATTTGTATACTCCTAACCTCTTAACCTAACCACACTGACAGCAATTTGCAGATACAAAGTAACCAAACATAATTCATTTTCAATGAGAGTGGACTGGGCTTCAGCGACCGCTATATTATATATTATATGAATATACGCCATATTCAAATGAGCAGTATCACAATTCTGATATGAATACAGTGTTTGATATTGCATCCATGCATTTGTTACCACAACAACTCTGCAGCCACTAGCTATGCATGTGAACAGTTTTACTGTGTAAGTATGAGAGATACTGACTGTGTCTGTTGTTGTGTTTTCAGTCTGATCTTGTGGATCAGAATCTGTTGAATTTCCTTCCACTGGGTGAGCACTCAGAGGTGTATAAAGCTCTATCCACACACATGCTGGAGGGAGAGACCCTCACCCCAGACTACCTAAAAAGTAAGAACCCCTCTCAAACATGCTGTTTTTACACCTTTATCATCTCATCATGACCAAAAAATTATTATGGTCTGTCTCTCTCTTTGTTATTGTCTCATTTCTTTGAGCACAGATCACTAGACAAGAGCTCATTAATGCTGTTGTCTTGTTTTTGTTTTGTTTTGTTTGCTTCCCTGCAGCAAAGAACCAGTTAGAGTTCTGTTGCCACATGCTCCGGGGCACGATCGACCCGAAAGAGCCGCCCGTTTATGAGTATGTCAAGTTCATCGGAAACTTTAAGTCCCTCAACACTGGTGAGTGTCGGGACGAGTGCCTGCAGCATCAGCCGAGTCTTTCATATGGATCCATTTATTGAATTACCCAGCCAAGTGCTTGATTGCTTGTGCTTCTTATGAGAGTAGATGGAGCAAGGATCATTATTTGAATAGGAAGTGTTGCGAAAAGCCAGTGTGCCAAAGAAACAGGCTTCTGACCCAGATTTTGAGATGGAAAGTTGACCGTTTGTGACCATTTGACAGGCATCAGTACATATAATTGTATATATTGTTATATGTACTGAGCCGCTGTGTTTACACTTTTCAGGGGAATCGACCTACAAATAGACTTAATTATACAGTAGTTGATGAGGGAGTATTTGAACCTTTAAATAATATAGAATAATATATACAATAAATACAGGAATGTTTAATGCTGTCAGTGAATTTATCAACAATAAAGATTAGATGAGATGAAAAAGTCACCGTGATGATAATTAAACCATTTTAATTAAAATAGATAATACATTAGGATACTCTTTACATTCTATTTCAGGAGTTCAGGTTAATAAATGCTTTGTATGCTTGAAAAGTTAACTAATAATTGTTTAATGGTGGAAAAGTTCAATTTGTCATAGTTTGATACATTTTCAACCTTTTGCAAAACTATTTTTAATACTATTTTTGTAGATTATTTATGATCCTTCTAATTCGCTGATTTGATGCTCAAGATACTTAATACATTTATTATTATTATCAGTGTTGAAAACGGTTTTTTTTTTTTTTTTCATTTTGTTAACATTATTACAAATTTTTTTGTATAAATATAAACGTGTTTACTGTCACTTTTGACCAGTTTAAAGGGTAGTATTAATTCTTTAAAAAAAAAAATTTTTTTGAATGGTAATTTAACTTGTGACAGGTATGGCTTTAAATTAATTCCTCTAAATAATAATAAAAAGAACAATGATCATATTTAATTTTCTATTATTATTATTATTAATATCAGTGAGTGTAAAATGGACTAAAAATGAATGAAAGAATGAACATGATATTGAACAAGATAGACTAAATGTCACTTTTTTTTTCCAGCATTCAACATTTTTGTCAAAAGACAAGCTATGTCTTAAAATCAACACTGCAGAAATGTACTGTTTTCGATACAAAAAGAGTTTCTTATACCTGAATTAATATTTAGTATTTGACGTTTCCTCGCAGGTGCTGCCCCCTAGTGGTAGGCTAAAGAAAATAAGCTTATTGCTTATTTTCTCTCAAAACACTTCCATTCATGAAGATTTGCTTGTCTTTTCCTCTGTAGTGCCTAACTCAACACGTAACTGCTTTGAGGGAGTGATCCAGCGATCGCTGAGGCCCATGTTCGAAGACCGAGTGTGTTTCATAGCAACTGTGAGGTTAGCCAAGCCTCAGTTTATCAAGGTAGGTTGAGCCAAAGCCGACTTGGCACCTTCTCATTGGTCCTGTGACTTCTAATATTTGCCTGACGGACAGTGACAACCTCAGTGAGATCTGTTGTGTACATATTCATCATGACACGGGGTGAATGTATGTATGTGTGTGGGCGTGTTGATAGACACTGTACATGTTTGTGCAAGAATTGCCTTTTTGAACACACTGATAAATGACCAGCATGCATAACACTCAGTGTGAGAAGTAGGTCACTTGGTTTCTGTTCTCGTTTTTTGTCTGCTAGATGTGCTTATAAGAAAGAACACTCTTGTTTATAACCTCTGTTCCACAGGAAATGTGTACTGTGGAGGAGCCCAATGAGGAATTCACCTCCAGACACAGTTTAGAGTGGAAATTCCTCTTCTTGGACCACAGGTACAAACTTCATCTGTTCTCACGACTGTTTTTGTGAGCTCATCGTCAAGCACACACACATCACCTTCCCTCTCCAGGAAAACTAGAGTACCTCTGCTAGTTAGTTTCACTTAGGCCTGGATATTATCTGTCTCAGGTGATCGGATCACTAGAGGTCAGGCAAGATTTTACTCTGGATAGAATGTGTCACCTGTGACCTCTTGCGATTGGATTTCAAGGAGAGGATCTCTGATTTCATGGCTGTACTGATACATCACTATGTCAGTGTGGTACTACTACTACTACTACTACTACTACTACTAAGAGACGAGGAAAGAAAGACCGAAAGAAAGAAAAGGAACAGAAGAATAAAACAAGCAGCAGAAGTAGAAAATAATTAGGACTAAAGTTGGAAAAATAGATAGCAAGGAACAAATCATTCATTGTAAAAAAGAAAACTGTGCTTAAATAAACATTGAATTGGGTTCTTAAAATGATAAAAGTTTTTTTTTTAAGTGTACTTGCAGAATATTAATGAAATTAAAGACCACTTAAGTGTACATAAAGTACACTTTCAAAATGTGTACTTTTATAATAGTCAAATTAAAAGCTTTACTTTAAAATATATTACAAAGCATCATGATTTAATAATCTTTGTGTTTACTAACGTACTAAAGCACATTTTAAGTACTTGTTTATAATTTTAACTATAGTGTTATTGCATTACAAGTGAATATATTTTAAGTGTTTTAAACTAAATTGCAGCGTTTTCATTAGAGTTGTGTAATTACAAATATAATTAATAAATATGATTAATATTAGTTGACACATGCCATACAAGTTTCAACAGAAATAACATTCAAATATATTTTAGTTTACCATAAATGCCTGTCAGTCCATTCAGCAGTACAGTTTAACCGTTTAACATTTTTTAGTTTATGCCAAGCTGTCAAATATCTTATGGGGTACAAATTGTAAGTATAAAATGTTTTTAAAAACAAATCCGGTCACGCTTTATTTTAAGGTCCAGTTTCCTCTATTAACAAACCATTAACTATGATGTTTGCCTCAATAAACTCCTAATTTGCTGCTTATTAATAGTTAGTAAGGTAGTTGTTAAGTTTAGGTATTGGGTAGGATTAGAGATGTAGAATATGGTCATGCAGAATATGTGCTTTATAAGTACTAATAAACAGCCAATATGTTAATAATAGGCATGCTAATAAGCAACTAGTTACTAGTGTGAATTGGTCCCTATACCAGGGGTGCCCAAACTCGGTCCTGGAGGGCCGGTGTCCTGCAGGGTTTAGCTCCAACTTGCCTCAACACACCTGCCTGGAAGTTTCTAGTATGACTAGTAAGAGCTTGATTAGCTGGTTCAGGTGTGACTAATTGGGGTTTGAGCTAAACTCTTCAGGACACCGGCCCTCCAGGACCGAGTTTGGGCACCCCTGCCCTATACTAAAGTGTTACCACGAATCCTAATCCAGTAATAATCACAAACAAATTGAAAAGTCACGGGGCACTAGAATATTGTTGTGGACAATGGGGAGCCTTGGAGTTAAAAAATAACTGAGAACCACTGTCTTATTGTCACTTCTTTACAGTACCTTGTTTTCGAGAAGTCCTGCACTTCAAGCTGTGTGAGCCTGTGACAGTCACAATACACTCCCCTTGAGACTTCTTTGTTGTTCATGCTTGCACTTTGTTAGCACTAGCATGACTCGGAGTAATCAATAGCTCACGTTCAGCCCACAGGCTCAAAGGCTTATACATTTGGAATAACATGAACATCATTTTCTCTATAAAAACATAATGCCATTATGCTTGGAAAGGTTTTTACTGAATTTAGATGAGTTGTTTTGGAAGAATAGCTGCTGGCACTGGTGCTACTCTATATTTAGTTAAAATCTCGGATTCGGTTTAATCGGCACAGATGCTAGATATTAAAGTGATTGAATAAGATTTTCCACATTATCAGTTGTTTAGCAGAAGCTAGTGGCGCTTCAGATCTTTTTATGCTGTTTTTATCCCAAAACATTTTCATATGACTCAAGGAATGCCTGAAAATCTGTTCCAAGACCTCAGTCTTTGCAAAAAATATGGCATTGAGTCATTTTAAATAGGTAAATTGTTTAAAATAATAGATGGTCTGAATTCAAAAATGTAGAACACTGAAAAAATTATAAAAAATTTTTAAGGTAAGTGGTTGCAAACAATTTATTTTAGCTACATTTAAAAAAAAAATGTTGAAAGTTAGTCAACTAAATTTGTTTATTTAAATGTAGCTAAAATAAATTGATTGCAACTACTTACCTTAAATTTTTTTTAGTAAATTCAATGAATCGTTTTTTCAGTGATGTTGCAGAAGTTTTGAATTCAGTTCAGTTTAGTTTTCTTCTATAAAAACATTATTTCTAGTCATTAAGTAAACTCTCTTTTTCCTAAAAGAAGATAATGGTTATGCTTTTTTTAAATGTGGTGTTAATTTAATCACACACAAAAAAAGAAATCTGTCTAAAATCAATAAATCAATCAAAATCAATAAACTATAACATTTAAAACTCGAACATTTGCAACAAAACAATTTGCCACAAAAATGCATTTAAATGAAAATTAATAACTTGATTAACTTGGTGGGAAAATCACCATGTGCACATTTGAACAGCTTCTATGAAGTCTGAGCTTTGACCTTGAAAAAAAATTTTTTAAACAATAATTCATCATGTTTGTGACATTTGACAACAGGATCTATAGTATTCATTAAGAACGGTATTAATTAAATGTATTTTGTTTTGCTTTTAGCACACTTGTTAGACTTTGCACTAATGCTTAACCTGGAAAAAATTAAATAAATAAATAACAATATTTGCCATAGAAGTATTATACTGGATAAAGGGCACACAGGTTTTTTCAGACACTTGACAAATTCAGATAATTTTGTAGTAGTTTTTTGTATTGTTGAAATGTGCAAATGTTACGTAACAAACGTTTAGATTATAGAAATATGCCTTTTATATATTTTCTTGACCATTTGAATTCTTTTTCTTGACTCAAATCAGTGGATATATTTGTCACCATATTTTTTTAGAATGACCCCACTGAATACACGTATGCAGATGATGTGAAGTTGCGTTGTTGTATTTTGCAGGGCACCCCCCATCATAGGCTACCTACCCTTCGAGGTTCTGGGTACTTCAGGATACGACTACTATCATGTGGATGACCTGGAGACTCTGGCCAAGTGCCATGAACACTGTGAGTTCATCTACTGTTTGTGTGCACTCGTGTCTCCCCACTTTTAAAAATGGACAACGGTTTGAAATTTATGAATGAGTGGCACTGTTTTGAGTTTTGACTTTGTAATAATAAGATATCTCTCTCCCTGCAGTGATGCAGTATGGTAAGGGGAAGTCGTGCTATTACCGTTTCCTGACTAAAGGTCAGCAGTGGATCTGGCTTCAGACTCACTACTATATCACCTACCACCAGTGGAACTCACGGCCGGAGTTCATCGTCTGCACACACACTGTGGTCAGGTGAGTTTCAGAACATGAAACATCTGAACTACTAACAAGAAAGAAACAGCTGCCATCTTCTGCCAGTGGTTTTACACTGAATCCTAGCAGGCACAGAATAATAAAGCATAAAGCAGGATGTGGTGCTTCTGTTTATAGAGAATTTCTTAGGTTTATTTATTTATTTATATAACAGATGTTTTCTTTTTGTCTCAGCTATGCTGAAGTGAGGGCTGAACAGCGCAGGGAACTGGGCATTGAGGACTCACCTCCTGAGATCTCAGCAGACAAGGTGAGACATTACTGAATTCAGTTCTGAATCCCCATTTAGCCTTTATTATAACAGGCAAGTATACTTTTATTTACATAAAAAAAACTTTATACATTTGATTTAATATTATACTACTAATAGTATATTTAAATAGCTTATTTTTATTATTTATTTTAATGTGTAATAAGTGTAATATTTATTCCTATAGATTTAAAACATTTATTTTGTTAAGATTATATCATTTATTCAATTCTGAATTCCCAATCATCCTACAAATATAACAGACAGATATGTAAAATATCATTAAGTAAATTGATTTAAACTAATGTATATTTATTTTTTCATCTTGATATTACATTTATTTATTTATTTTTAAATATTTAATATTTTCAATATTTAGTTGATTTATATACTTTTATGTTATTAATAATTTATTACATTTTGGGCAAATATGTAAAATATCCAGGGGTGCATATAAGTGGTGCGCAGCAGGTGCCGTATGCACAACCAAAATTAAAAATGCACTTTGTAAATAAGTTCAGACCACTCATTTGTGTACTAACATGGTTGACAGCTGTTAATGCACAATCAGAATTTCAGATCAACTGTGATACTGTATAAGATTTCCATTCAAACTGAAAGCATAAATCTAGGCTATGTGCTGCGGGTTCTGCAAACAAAATAAATAAATAAAAATAATACAGTAAAATAATTGTATTTTTATATAATACTCCCTTTTTATTTTAAAATATAATAGTATTATCACACTTTATTATTTTATTTAAAAAACTAAATAAATATAGTGCAATAATATTATTACTATTATTAATTTTTTTTGTTATATTTAATGGGTCACACTGTTTACACAAATTCAAATTCTTTTATAATTCAAATGTATCATTCAAAAAAACATTTATATTTTATTATATATGTATTTTCTCAATATATGTATTTTTCAACATTTATTCAATATATTAATTTGATAAATTAAATATTTATTTATAATTTATATAATTATGTTAGATTAATAAACCTTTCAATTAACCTTTTTTTTTTTTTAAAGAATGCCCCTCCCCAAATAATGTTCTATGGTAATAATCAACGATGTTCCACAGATGCTGTTGTGATAAATCTTAACTTGCACTGAACCCAGAACAAACCATTAATCCCTCTCGGTTTCACTCTGCTCAGTCTCAGGACTCCGGCTCTGAGTCCCAGTTGAACACCTCCAGCCTGAAGGAGGCGCTAGAGCGATTCGATCACAGCCGCACACCCTCCGCCTCCTCACGGAGCTCCCGCAAATCCTCCTCGCACACCGCTGTCTCGGACCCCACGTGTATGTATTACATACCAAAGACAGAAGGTGGTTCTCAAAAACGCAGCCATAGCATATTGAGATGTTAAGACCGTACTATGACTGACCCATATACTGTATGTTTGTGTGTCTGTAGCCACACAGACAAAGCTACAGACAGACCGTAGCACACCCCCCCGCCAATCAGTGTCAGCCAATGAGATGACATCACAGCGGAGGTCCTCCATTAGCAGTCAGGTTGGTACATGCCATCATCAATGAATCATATGAAATCTAGTGTCCACACACAAAACCCATTTTAACATGGAAACAAACAATTTAGGATAAGAAGAGAAAATTCTAACATGAAATGAGTATTGACCCTGTGTGTCGTCCCTCTTCAGTCGATGAGTTCTCAGAACACAGGACAGACGATGGCAACATCTCTTGTGTCTCAGGCTCAGCAGCCTCAACCACTTCAGCCCAGTGTGCAGGTAATTCAGCATCCCTATTACTGCATTCACTTCTATCACTCTTGCTAATTAGTGTCCCGGTCTTTGAGTGCCTGGTGCCACTAGAGCAAGCATGGTGGTCGATGTATGTATATACCTAATTAACCTTTGACACATAAAATCAATGGGATCTACGCCATTCTTTGGTGTGCCACTGATGCATAGAGAGGAACTGGCTTAAACGGTTGTCTTTTCAATGAATGAAACAATTACTCAGTCTGTTCAAATACACAGTCTGTTTCACAATAAATAATTATAAATAATCACAGATGTACTGGTATAAAAGGTTATAGTTTGTGTAGTTTTGACAATGATGTTGGTGGAGGTGACCAAAAGTGTAATTGAAATTAATACCTTTATTCAAAATGAATATTTTAAATAAATACTGTTCTTTTTAACTTTCTATTCATCAAAGAATTTTACAAAAAAAAGTTACAACAACAATTTTATGCATCGAAACTGTTGTCAATATTGATACTAATAATAAATGTTTCTTTAGCACCAGATCAGCATATTAAAATGATTTCTGAATGTGACACTAAAGATCAAAATAAATGAATCCTTGGTCTCTGTATAAAAAAATCTTATCAACCCCAAACTGAATAAGTTATACAAATACCTTTGGGATGCAAATTTGTTTTGTTCCAAAATGTATTTATTGGCATTTGTTTGAACATTAGAACAGTAACATTTTAACAATTTTTAAAAAAAGGGATACAAATATTTAATTTTTAAAGGGTTAGTTCACCCAAAAATAAAAATTCTGTCATTAATTACTCACCCTCATATTGTTCCAAACCCCTAAGACCTTCGTTCATCTTCAGAACACAAATTAAGATATTTTTGATGAAATCCGAGGGTGAGTAATTAATGACAGAATTTTAATTTTTGGGGGAACTATCCCTTTAATAGATATAATTTCTCTAACAGGCTCAGATTTTCACACTGCTTTGCAGTGTTAACAGTTTTATTTAATGATAATATGATCATTACACGTGTATTAAAATCATATTTTGGGTTTATTCAAATATATTTAAGAATCTGAATATTAGATATTGTACAGCAGGGATCCTCAAATCTGGCCCACAAGATCCACTTTCCTGCAGAGTTTAGCTCTAACCCTAATCAAACACCTGAGCATGCTAATCAACGTCTTCAGGATCATTAGAAAATCACAGGTAGGTGAGTTTGATCAGGGTTGAAGCTAAACTCTGCAGCGCATTGGCCCTCCAGGGCAAAATTTGAGGAACCCTGTTCTACAGTCTACATCCAGTTTACATCTTACCTATCTATTATCATTACATTTTAAAATATATTTATATAAAATGCTGCTGCAAAGAATCATGTGACCTTGAAGAGCATTTTGCAGAATCATTTTCCATCTGAAGACCTGTATTGTTCTGGTAACTTTAACCCCTGAGGCCTCCTGAAAGTATTTTACCTGGTGCTGTTCATTGTTTTGTAGCCGGTGCTGCAGTTTTCCACGCAGATGGATGCGATGCAACATCTTAAGGAGCAACTAGAACAGCGCACACGCATGATTGAGGCCAACATCCAGAGACAACAAGACGAACTGCGGCAAATCCAGGATGAGCTGCAGAGGGTGCAAGGTCAGGGCTTACAGGTGAGAGCGCCCCCTAGCTTTTGATTAAAGATGCACTCCCTGCCTCACATTGACACACTTTTGTTTGGCTATGTAGATGTTCTTGCAGCCCGGAGGTGGTGGTCTCAACCTCGGCTCAGTGCAGCTGACGCAGGGATCATCCGTGCAGCCAGGGGGCGCTCTGTCCATGCAGGGGGCGGTGGTGCCGGCAGGGAGCCTGCAAAGTGGCCTGCAATCCACACACACAGCGACACAACACACTGTCACTCAGCAGGCACCGCCACAACAACAGAACCTTCTCAGAGATCAGAGCTCCACTCTAACTCAGGTGAGACAGTGAGCTATGAACACATTTGAAAAACAGCAACAGACGTAGCAATAAAGTCTACTAGGAATTCTAATTTATTTATAGAACCGAATAAGTTTCTATTAAATTTTATGTTCAGTTTATTTAAAATAAATATGTAATTTAATTACTTAATGACAGGAAATCCCATCTGATTATAGTGCTGCATTAAAAGATTATTGTCATTAACTAAAACAAAAATATTTTATAAAAAAAAAAAAAGATATAAAATAAAATATAAATATTTTATGAAAAATTTACTGAAAATTAAATGGTATTTAAAAATGTTGCCTTGACAACTAACTGAAATAAGTTACTCTAATCCTAAATAAGTAAAAGTAATCAAACCTAAACAGTAAAGTATAAAAATAGGATAAAAAATCATGAAATCTAATAAAAAAAAAACTAAATCAAAAAGTAAAGTATTAATAAAAACTATAATAGTATATAAATAATACCAAAATAACACTTCTACATTACTGTTTAGAGGAGTGAAAATGTGCATTTTTGCTGAATATTCAGCCTTATAAATCCAAAAACTGGTCTGTAAATAACATCTGTGGTACGTTCATATACAAAAAAAGATCAAACATCCTTCTATTAAATGTGAAAGTATATAAATACCAACACTCTAAAAGCAAGACGTGTAAAAGTCCACTAGGTTTCAAAGGACTGCAGGCTAACTTCTAAGCAACTAAAGACCTTTCTCACATTGGCTAGTGTTAATGTTTATGAGCCCATCACCAGGAGAACACTGTATATATATTCACATTGTCATGACTTGTTTTTATTCCTATACATTTTGGTGAGATTGTTTTCCTCTAAATAAGTTTAATAAATTAGATTTGTGCTTTGGTAGAAGGGATTTTTTCCAGTCGAGTCAATTAATCATTCACTCAACCGATTTGTTCAAGTAAAGATTCAAATCACAGTTTGTTGCTAGGAGACGATCACCAAATCCAAACTTCGGCTTCCTTTGGAACTGTTTTCGTTTGGAAACCCGACGAACTATCATCCTGTTAAAAATGTAAGTTACTCGATATTAACTTCTTGTTAATTAACTGTTGTAAAACAGCAACATCACACCCAAAATGATTTATTTTATTTTTTTCAGAGAGGCTGCAAGCAGTCTACACTGATTACTTGCTCTTGCGCCATTACTTCATTATTAAGCTGCAGTCCGTAACTTTTTTTGGTTAAAAATTATCCGAAATCAATATTTGAGCAAGTACATATCCAGCCAGTGTTCAAAACTATCGCCTTTAGCCCGATTCACAACGGTTAGCTTATAATAATGTTTTCTAATTTGAGTGGTACAGGTAGGTTTTCGCGGGAAATTCGAGCATGGCACTGCGTCATTACGTCAGGTCTGTAAACATGAAGTTGTCCCGGCTACTAGGCTATCGCATGTGAGGATCCTGCAGGTGGCGGATCGTTTATAGCCTTTTCTCACAGCAGCTGGAATAATTAAATGTATCATTTCGATGGCAGATTGTAATGCAGAAAGGATTGTTTATGAAACGTGAATTAAATGAAATTATATTCCAGTTTTAAATGTGCTTCTGATTACAGATAGCCTGGGATTACACAAGATTTGTATTTTTAAGACAACCAGTTCGAAGGGAGCATAATTTGCTTTTTGGTCTAGAAGAATTTCTTAATATGAAATTTGAATGGTATGACAATTAGAGAGACTGTACAGAAATTGAAATCGACACGCTAATACACACTATAGGCAATGCCGATGTTGTTAACATTAATAATTGGAGAATAAAGTATAACAATAATAATTATTTGCATGGTTTGATGTGATATGAGCTAACTGATCTTTAGATTAAATCACCATTGGTAGCGCAATTTATTGTAATGCTTTTTTTCCTCAGTTGGTCAGAACAAATGTGGCAGATTTGTTACTTGTTCAGATGGCAATATACGGTGAAAATTCTTATTTGGGTCATATATTCCAAGATGTAGGCTAGAATCTGTGATTGTGAAGTACATTAAATATCCACACCGGAGCAGTGACTGACTGCCACACATACTCCTCAAAACATTAGATTCATCCGCGCTCATACCTGTCAACATTTGGGTCCCAAAATATGGGAGGGAGGGGTGGTTCGGGCGGGATCAAAAGTATCAGTTATTATATTATAGTATTATATTAATTTAAACAATTATTATCAAACAATTATTTAATGCAAATTCATTCTCTCCTCATTCTTTGGCTTTTCGCCAGGAATATAGCCATTTCCCCGGTAACCGCAGTAAACAAAGCAGCGCAGCACCTGATTTTGCAACTTGCAGTGCTCATATTTAAACAATTAAACCATAGCCTTTTGAAGTGTAAGCTATATCTCAATTTGCATGTATATGTTTTTTTTCACCGGAGCACCACCTGAGTCTTCTCCTCCCGTCCAATTTCTACCAGTGATCCTTTCCTTCCCACGGTAGTCATCACTGTTGTAGGCTGCCAAGTTGAGGTGACAAATGGGTTGAAATTTGTATTTGTCGATTGTGTGAGAAGGATGTATTTCATACAAGATCTGGCAACTGGGCAACCTTGAAATTTGTTGATGTGATTATTCATATAATGAGGTTTGGGCCATACAAATTACGAGAGTTTTACCGGAGGCGAATGTAGCAAACATAAAATACGCCCAGTGGGATTTTTTTTTTTTAGAAAGAAAATATGGGAGAAATACGGGAAAATATTTAAACGGGATGATAGCAGGATAGAATGGTAAAATACGTGAGAATCCCGGGAAAAACGGGAGGGTTGACAGGTATGTCCGTGCTGGAGCCATGCCGGAGCACAACCCACGCAAGGAAGATAATTCCGCAGACAGCGGCAATTGCAGGTTTTCAAAAAGAGATGGCGACAAAGAGGCAAAACTTACGGACTGCAGCTTTAATAAAGGGGTCATATGATGTTGCTAAAAAGAACATTATTTTGTGTATTTGGTGTAATGAAATGTGTTTATGCGGTTTAAGGTTATTAACCACTGATTTCTAGTCGTGTCCTCTTTTGGAAGGCCAAACAAAGTAGTTTCGCTTTCACAACGAAACGCACAGTGTCACACACGGCGGGCTTGAGTGAGCAGAGGCCGGCGGATTCGACGAAGGAGCGGCCGGCGGGCTTGCGGCAACCACATGTGACGACCCCGGGCTGGACACCGCTTCGTCCACGGTGAAAGCCGATCCGGCGATCCACAGCGCGAAGTTGATGTATTTCCTCAGCGACCAGCACGGATCAGCTCTAGGCATGATGAAGTGGATATCGTCCTCTTTTGGAAGGCCAAACAAATTAGTTTCGCTTTCACAATGAAACACAGCGCCTCCACGGCATGGCGGCGGCGGCAACAGCAACAGCGAGAATAAAAGTTACGCCTTCTTTCTTTGCGTGAACATTTGGGCGGTGTTATGCAAATCTTCCCACATCGTGACGTAGATATGTGGGGGTGTGTTAGAACAAGCCGTTTTAGGTAGGCGTGGTTGACTCTTAACTTTTATAAAGAATATCTCTTTGGATTTGAGACTTTAGTCTTTGCAACTTTACAGATCTTCTTTATGCACCAAGAGCTTGTAACACTCCAAAGAGAAAGGAAAAATTTAAATCGCATCATATGACCCCTTTAAGCAATGAACAACTTAACCTGGATGAGAGCAGGACACTATTATCATTAGTCATCGGTTTCAAGGTAGTCAAGTACAAATTTTTATGTCAAATGAAAGTAATATCGTTTGTATGTACTATATTGGACCTGAACGGTGCGGGATTGTTTTGCACAGAATTGTAAACGTTCAACTAAATTATATTTTACAATTACATTTGTAGAAAACACATACTTGGCGCTTAAAATGAACCTAAAATGCAATATAATAATCCTAATTAGGGATCGTAAAGATCCATTTCCAGCTTAAACATAAAATAACATTTTAATTGCTGTATAATTTGTAATTACTTTGTATACAGTATATTCACAACTTGAGAAAATGAAAATAAATACAACCAGAAAATGAAAAAAAAAAAAAAAAAAGTCCCATGTTTTCATTTGAAAAATCTGGTCACCACCAGTGCTTCAGAATAACTAAGAAATGTCTGTTATTCATCATGTACAATTAATCATTTTCAAGCTCAGAAAAATTATATGGACTAGGGAAAAATCTCTGAATTAAATAAGTATACATATTTACAGTGGCCCCAAAAAGTAGAATGTCTTGGCCACATAAAAAATTTATACATGTATCTATGACAAGTGGTATTTATTTAAATCTAGCACAAGCACACATTTTAATCAAAACATTTACAATGTTTCTTAGGTTTCAAAATATGAAGCTATAGGAATTTAATTCAAAATGAAGACAAATCTTGGCAAGTTCTGGTTGTCAAACTCTGTGGAACATGTATTGAACTACACCTGTGGTTATTCTAGGACACCTTAAAGAACTTGATGGCTGTAAAATTTTACCTTGAGACTAGTTGGTTAAAAATCATTTAAAACAAAACGGTTTAAAAAAGTGAAGCTAGTCCTTAGGAAAACTGAAGTGTCATTTTTTTGCAGATGCCAGTTGGTTTGATTTTTTGCATCTAATGCAGTGTGTGACTCATGGCATCAAAATGTTTTTGGATACTTTTCTCTTAACATCTTTGAAAAATGTGCTTCATAACAGTATAGGGTTATTACATCTGCTCCATGATTTAATATTTTTTCCGCATTGTGAAAAAATAACCACATCTGACAGACTGAGACTGACTTTTTTATTCAATATTTACAGGAATAACATTTTTGCAGTTCTTCTGTAATAGTTCGATCAGCACACTCTCCAAAGTTAGCCCCTGTCAAATATTGACAAAGTCACCCTGAAAATGTAAAAAAAGAAAGAACCAAATATCCTTCTCAACGGAACAAATCAACTACGACAAAATATCAATATCTGCTCCTTAGTAGAATAAATAAAAACCATTCGGAAGAAAAGGGCAGACTTAAGATATG